GATACCTGAAGTAAATGCTATTGTTCTCTGTTTGAATCTGTTCTTAGTATACATTATTATTTTATTACATTATTAGTATTTACAACAACCAATACTTGTATTTCTTGCTTACACCTTACTCTAGTTCCTTAAGAGATTCTTGATAGATATTAAAACTTTTATTTTTTCTGAATGATTTTTTCCAAAAAAAAGTTTACCAAATCCAACCCAAGTATCACACATCAAGGTTGCTGAAATCTAGTTGGTCGATCAAAATTATTGAAAGTTGGTTACACTGTTTAATGAAAGTTCTATACCAATGTTAGCATCATACTGACACCCAATAGACACCAATCTAAATGTTAAGAAATTGATACAAAATAAATCTTTCGCCAATGAATTCCCAAACTTTTTCTCTGTATGACTTAAAAACCTCATTTAATTCGTTCTAGGGCGATCATACTTAAAACGCTTCAATTGGACATCCATTTTTGAAACGTTGTCTATCGAGACGAAATCTGTAAAGGCTTCTCAGAGTACGAAACCAGCGGCATCTACAGATGTAAGCTACATTTTTGATTCTTAAATTTAGAAGATGCCAATTCTTATTAGCGCTTTCTAGACAAATTTTTTATTTATTTATTTTTTTTTTTTCAGTGATGAGGCCCATTTCTGGGGTATATAAATAAGCAAAACTCCCGAATATGGGACGAAAAGCAACCTGAAGGGATTCGAGAGCTGTCATTTCATCCAGAAAACACAACGGTCCATATTTCTTCAGAAATGATGTCGGTGAGAACGTAACCGGCCATGGCGACCGTTATCCCGCCTTTATAATCGTCAATTTGATGCTGAAATTGAAGTTCGTGATCTCGGTAACATTTGGTTTCAACAAGACTTCGAGCAGATAATTTCACGATCAAATTACCACCAAGATTCCTGTAGGAAGCATAATATAACGCGTGTTAATAGTCAGAATTGGTCCCAACGCATGGACCATCTGAGACGTAAAAGCGGTCAACATTTGAAAAAAGATCTTCAAAAAATAAAAACTCATTAAATTTGAAGTTTCTGTTTTTTTTTTTCGAAGTATGGAACCTAGAAACGGGTGTTTTCTTCAAATGTGTTGCTGAAAATCGTGACAGCATCCATTTTATTTTTCTGTCGGATTGTGGAAATGTCAAGTACGAATTTCAGAAAATAAGAAGGATCTATACTGAGTTTGTAATTCGAATGTTCAGTATCGATAACTACATGATTTTTAGAAATATGCGACTAGCGTGCCGAACGAAGTTGTATAAAGCTTTAAGTAACGTGCCTTAAAATGCTTGAAATGGCAAATATTCCATGAAGAGGAAAAATTGTAAGCTGTGCTCATAAGATAAATTGGTAAGCTGTAAGCAACAGAACTGATAGTGATTATATCTAAGTCTGGGGTCGACATTTCATAGGACAGTTGTTCAAGTTGTTCTATCGACCAGTCATTGTCCAAACAGCTACGAAATAGCATCGCGCATCGTCGTGCCAGCTGCTGGTGTTGCTGACGAAAAGAAGAAAAAGCAAAAAAGGAGGAGTCGGGGTCAGAGGAAGACGACAATATGGGCTTCAGTCTCTTCGACTAAATAAGTCAACTCTTAAATATTCAGTATTTAGAAAAAGAAAATATTGTATTTGTGTAGGAGAAGTACATTTCAGAAAATCTAAATTTGATTCAAAAATGAGTTGTGTTTCTAAATATTATAAAAGTTTCACAGTTGAGAACTGCTGTATTCAGTTTGAAAAAATAATATTTTTACTCACAACTTCACCAGCATCAAACCACTGTTACAAATTCCACTCACTACAACTTTAACGCTAAAAGTTCGTCCTTTAACTTCGTGTGAATGGCCAAAGGAAAGCGGAAAATTACAGCGACTGCTAAATTAATCATGTTACCTTAGCCATTATTAAGTACTTATTCGTGTTTATGTAGGTAAATATGTGCTTCAACATAAACAATGCCAAACATTCTCTGCTGATAGGTAAATATAAATATAAAAGACCACCCACTCTCTTTCGCTGAGAGGAAAAGTGCTCTAAAAGCATTGCTTGTTCCGATTTTTTTTTACAAGTAAAGGCGAAAAAACGGAGCTAATGAAACTTTTGCGTTCAAAGGTAAGCTTGTCAAGATATTACACAAGCAATAGGACGAATGTATAATTGGCCGAACGAAATGCTTAGAAGCTTTATAAAAAGCTATTTTATAGCTTTGAGAAGACTCGATGCATTTATTCAAAGGCAACACATAACATCTAAGTGCCTACAGCGCAATTAAGCCTAAAATATAAATACATTTGTTAACATTCGCTGATTTCTTCATCTCCTTAATTAAAAACAAGAGCTCAGTCTTTGCAAAAACTAATTTGAATTTCGGGTTGCTAATATGATTTTATTAATTTTCTTAGCGAATTTTTATACGCTTTCGTTGTGTACAAACACATAACTGTTAGAAATATTTTAAATGCTTGCCTTTGCCACCGCCAAGTTAATTTGAGGCATACTTTTTTTTTTTTGCTCTGGTAACAAATATGAATGCAACAAAAAGAGGCCTAAAACTTTTGGCTTTTTATGTAATATTATTATTTTTTCAAACAAAAAGTAACTCTGGCGTAAGGCAATAAAGCCGAAGACGCTTTAATGGCTGTAAAATGGAAGAGAACTTCAAATGAAAGTATGCCAATTACTTTGCTTAGTCGGCTCTTTCTCGGAATATACAATAATTTGAGACGTCCGTTGGGATTGTGAAATAAAGGAGCTTTTATTATTTTATTTTCCGTTTCGTTTATCTAACTAACCGAGATACATAATTGCAAATGTGCTTCTAAATAATTTTTATCATTTGACTGGCATATTAAGAACAACATTTTATGATTACTGTTATACATAAGTTAGCACATACTATAAAATAAGTATAGATCCTTTTTAACCGTGATAATAAAAAATTGGGTTGTAATCCGCCAATTGCTTTCGAAATATGTAGTAAAGTGCGGCTCTTCTTGAGTACATTTCCTAGCTAATATACTTGCCTACTTCCATTGACGCTAATTATTAAACAGCCAGTAGCAAAATCGAAGTCCTTAGCACTCAATTTTTCAACTCACAAGTTATTCATTGCTATTCGTTGCATATAGGTAGAAAGTCCCTCAAAATTTTTCTAAAATTCTTTTAAAGCTGCCCATTGAATTTTGTTACTGTCCTTACTTCTGCGCTATATAATACTAGAACGTGCATGGCGAGAGACAATTAATATTTTAAGTACCAACGGGAGATTACTATGACTATAAATTGCAATAAGTTGATAATCAGTTGCGCCACGGACACACATTTTATTTATTAATTTTTTTTTTTTTTTTTGCTTTGCCACCAGTAGAAAACTTTCGGGACAATAAATTCAACAAAAAAATTGTTAGAACCAATGCATATTTGCACTTTAAGATTCACGAAGAGAATTTTATAAACTCTTTGTTTTCAATCTAAATATATTTCAGCTTAGTAAGCACTTTGATATTAGTATTAGTGAAAAGGTGGTTCAGTAACCAAAATTAGTGACGTCGGCGTCGACTGTTTTGTTAAATTTACTACTAAGTTATAGTCTTTTCGCACAGCCAAATTAGTTTAGTGCAATAGGTTATTAATGAGAAATCTTTCAAACGTGGCTACTCGTTCAACGATATGCTCAATTAATGACAAGCTGGTGTATTTGCTTCTGTTGTGTATTTTGTGATTTTTCTGGTGATTAATATTCATCAGCTGATAGCTCTTTTATCAAAGAACACAACCAAATTTACAGCCTGGACAACAACCATTTAGAGTTAATGTAGTAAAATAAACTTTTGTATGGTAGATCGACCTAATTTGTGCTTTAATCGCGCAAAGACCGGGTAACTGATTAATTAACTCCTGACTGAACGGCTATTTTAAAAGTTTTTAATTCCAAATCAACACAGTGTGGCAGGCACTACAGATATTAATAGCCCGGATAGACGAGCAAAATTAATGCACATTAAGAAACGCTAATGCGCATTGAAATCTTTTGGCGACAGAGGGAAAAAATGTGCATTTAGACAGCTGATTGAGAAATTTGTTTATAATATATATTAAAAAAAATAGTAAAATAAAAGTGGATAAGAAAAAGTTATTAATTGCAATTTTGGTATTTTTGGAAAGTCAATAAAAATTTAGCGAAAAATTCGTTTATTATTAAACACGTTAAAAGATAATAAAGTGCAATTAAGTGCAATACTTGATTGTTACTCGAAAAAAGTGTGCGAAAAAGTTAAGAATGTTTAAAAAATTGAGCAACAACATGTTCCTGCTGAAGGCTCCTCCTTTCCTTTTACATCTTCTTCTGTATATAATACAATGAAACAACAACGAAGGAATGAAATTGCAGCATCTAATGTAAAACGAATGGTTAACAGATAATGTTGTTTCGATATTTGTTCGGGTTCGAATTCTGGTCAAAAATTTGTTTTTGCATACCCGACTTTTTTTGTCAAAGGTGCCCCCAAAAATGAAAAAATTATGCTATTTTTTTCATTCAACATGTTCCTAGATTACACGAACTGTTAATGCTAATGGACGAGAAATAAGTCTAGTCTACATAACGAGAAAAAACATTTTATTTATGCTTCGTCATGTTAATTTCAATCTCACTTACTTGATGAGTGCTGATATTACTGCAATATATGTGAAAATCCAAAACGTATTTTTAATTGATTTCTACCAAAATAATGAGCGAGGTAGAGCTAATTCAGACAGCAATTAACGTATTATTAATATTTTTTACATCAACTGATTATCTTTATACTCTGACTCTGCTGCACAGTTACTCGTATTCCTCTCTCATATTGACCACATTTCGGATGAGAAAATCATTACATAAATTAATTTTTTTAGTCAGCATACAATTTTAATATAACTGTATTTAAATAAAATTTTATCTCTTGTCTCTTTGTGGCATGCCACTTTAATTTTAACACCTAAGACAATGTTACAAATACCCTAACCACGGCCCGCAAAGCATTGTAGGTGTACCATGATGTGACGAGTTGGTAGTCACCCCTCGGGAATGGTAGCACATTTGTCATTAAATTATCGATGTGACTTACCGGCAACATGTTTACCTCAATGTCATGCTGAATAATTAAAATAAATCATAAATAGAAATGTCAACTTGAAAACTTTGAAACGTAATGCTAAGCCAACCTACGGTGTAAGGACAAGTGTGATTAATATTGGAGTACTTGTGGAAGAGAGCATGTAAAAAACGAAGGAGATTATTGCCACCGGTGCGAAGAAATTTGCAACCATCCACTGTGACATTGTAGAGGAAGGGCTTATAACCGTTGGCGCGTTTCAGTGCAGCAACACCAACCTGACGAAAAAATAAGTAAAGACATATTAATTACATTAAAAGAGCACATTAGTTCCTCTCAGTTCACGCTACTTACTGATATATTATTTTTTGGCTCCTTCGAGAGGAAATGATTGGCCGCCGATAAATACTTGTATGTGCGATTCACTGCCCGAATGTAGCAGTATCGTATTGAGTTGTAGGCCGGATCTACGGCTTCACATTTTATGTTCGTAAATTCGACTCTGGCACGCACCTTAAACAACATGGTATACTTAGCACCAAATTATGTAATATCTATTGAGTATTCTATATAAGATATAGACAGTATAGAGGGTAAAATTATTTTATATACGGCTAGAAGAAAGATCGGACCCAGCTGGTGGAAAACGACTCCTTTTCATAAATATTCGATTAACTTATGGTATTACCAAACAGAATTAAATGAATAAATCGAATATACTATTTGCAATTAGTAGTTGCAGGGGTGGAGAAATTAAACATGACATACTTTTGGGAATGAAAAAAACCAAAATGGCGCAATTACAGCGCTAGGTTTTCAGTTCGTTATAACTTTATGAGACAATATGAAAGCCCTAAATGTTTTAAAATGTAACGAGTGTATTCATATAATTTATTTATGACTAAAAATATTAAAAAGAGGTAGGAGGCTTAAGTTCGGATGCACCGAATATATGTATCGATAATTATAAGTAGTTTGTGGAAGTTGGTTGGTTGGTTGGTTGAATAGAACTTGAGATAGTGCCGGTACTGTGTAGAAAAAAGTAGGTTCGAGAAAAACGCGCTTAAAAAATTGAGTCAAATTTCAGGCAGTCTAAGTCATTGTTAGTGCGCTAGGTATTGCGTCACTAAAGTAACTGTAGCTCTTAAAATAATTTTAATTTTTAAAAATCCATTGGTGGATATGTTCTTAAGGGTCTAAACTACAAATACACATATGGAAAAAAAATCGAATTTTTCGAAATTCTAGAGTAGAATACCCCCTTAACGTGGCAGTCATATTTCATGGCTCAAGCTTAATGTTTTTCCATGCTTTTTCCTGTCCATCCGAGCTGAAAATAGTACATTTGCATTCATCTGAAAAAATAACAGAATTCCAGAAATGTTCAACTTTACTTTCGTGCACTTTCACATACTTCAATCTTTTTGATCTATTAATGCTTTTTGCCGACAGATTTTTAGGAAAATTACGACCATGGTATCCAGCCTCATACAGCACTGGACGAATGGTATGGGAATCCCGGGTTTTAGTCTCATTTTCAATTTCTGTACGCACTTTGGTATTTTCTTTGGGTTAACCTACTGTATCTTACTTACGTGTGATAATACATCGCTCCTAAGGTCAATTATTTTTTCACGTCCAGATATTTCCCTCTTTTTTTATCTTTCTGTTATTTTCTTAATAGCAGAATTACTTTCATTTCATATTTTTCCAATTGCCTCGGAATCTTATTTTATTTATATAGTTTCATTACTACATCTCTTAATTTTTTTAATTTTATTGTTATTTTGTAAAAAACCAACTACAAGTATTTACATAATACCTAAATCCATTCGTTTTAAGTAGATGTGATCCCTCTAGTTAGTGAATGCATTACACATTACAAATTACCAATAAACTAAGCCCACAATATGTAAATATAAAATCGGATAAAAGCCATGCCAATATCAGTTTTAGTTTTCTAATACTTCGTCAAATGGCGAAAACAGTTTGCAAACCGCATAATTAATCAGTACCACAACGTAATCAACGCGGTGGAGGTGTGTTAGTCTACTTGAAAACTAATAGTTTTGCCAATGTCCACATAAATTAATCTTATTTTGATACAATAGCAATTACGTAACAATTAAAAACATATTTAGATATTTATTAAAATCTGAGGCCACATAATAATTTTAAAGAATTATTTTTCAATTTTTAATGACGAGTTTTGCTCAATAGTTCTAAATTGTTTGTTCACTGAAACCATAATTATGATTAAATGGCGTTAAGAATTTAATTATTGTTACATATATATGTTAGCTATTATTGTTATTATTATGTCATTAATCTAATTCAGTAAACAAAAGTTGTTTAAATTCGATATTCCGCTGTAAATGCTGCAATTCCGAGTATGCAGACTGAGCTCAACTAGATAAATAATAAAGTATAATGTAAACCTTAAGTGGGAATAGAATAAAAATAATATTGTCTGACTTTGAAATTTATTACTATAGAAAAATTTAGAATGTCTCCCTATTGAAATATTATTCATAGAAATTATCAAGCTATTCATTTTTTCAATGAAGGGTCTTTCAATAGCACCCCTTAGACCAAAATAAATTGAAGGTAAATTTGAATTGCCGTTGAGGTAGCTGAATTAATATACAAATGCTAGATTTTCTTTGATTAAATAAAATTAATGACTTAATTAAAGCATCAATTTTTTTCTGTTTTTTGTCTTTTTTGGCTAATGACATTCGCCATTGAAATAATCTTTTTGCGTTTGATGACGCTTAGTCGAATTAAGGTAATTAAATTTTTCAAATTTCTATGCTTTGATACCCCCCTAAAGTAAATCTCGATGAATCCTCCAAAGCATCTTCCAAATACTCGACTTATAAGAACTAGTGATTATAAACGCCTCTATGAATACTTTTACAAATACCATAGTGATTTGTTATTCATATGAAACACCTGTCTGCGAAAAAGTATCAAAAAAGTACTCGATGGTTAATTACTCAACTTTTCCACAAAAAAATGCAGTTCAAACCCAAATACTTTAAACTTGCAACCTGCGCTCGCACACTTACAATAAATATTGAAATTCATAGCTGCTACTACAATAACGGTAAATTTGTGTATGCATATACCTGCGAACGCAAACTCTTTTGTATAACACCCTGTAAGCGCACTTATCCTTGTAAGATAATACTGCAGCGCTTGCTTGAGGAAAGTTAAATTCGCAAATATATTCAGTAAGATAATGCTGCTGAACTCTGCGTGAAGGAGGAAGGCAAGAGAGCAAAATATCGTCGGAAGATTGACGTTAAATATCAATAACTTCATTTCGGTCGATTGCCCTCCAGGCGCTCGTAATTTCGCCAAACGAGTTGAGAAAGTTTTCATTTACGAGAATTGTGCTGGAAATTGTGGAAAATGTAAAACAGTAATTTGCAAAAGTATTTACTGTTATGAAGCAATATTCAGATAAACGTTATTGAGTATGAATGTGAGATTGACTGCATGACTCGCGCTGCAACGGTCAATTGCGGGCGTTCGTAGATTTTTGCTTTGCTGTTCTTATGTTTTATTTTATTATTATAAATGTTTATATGGAGAAGATATTACATAAGATTACAGTGAGTGATTAAAAGAACTTAGACATTAGCTTAAGTAGGGTAAAAGTTTGAAAATTACTAGTAAAACTACGAATAATCCGTGATAATACGCTTACCAAAAGTTTCCTTCATCGAACACACTAAACAGTGATTGATTTGAGAAGTAGCGACGTCTCATCAATGGTGTGAGGATTTTGGTAGTTGTTAGCGCAGCGATTCAACAAAAAATAAGTTTTAGACGTCAGTCATTTTAAGCGGTGTATCGAATTTTAGTTGGCCCTAAAAAAATAGCAAGACTAAAGGAACTTTGTACTAATATAGACAGGTAATAAAGCTCAAGCCGGTAACTGTGCAATAGTTGTAGACCCGAATGGCCCAGTAATAAAAAAACTTATTAAGTGAAATACAAGGTAGAACTTATAGCAAATCCACTCAAAGTTTTAGGTCACTGGACTTAACCAAACATGGGTTTTTAGAAAATGCTGTCAAGGAATTCGAGATTGCCTAATATTATGATCCAGAGGGTGATCTACCTTTTTTTACTCATTACTGAAAAATTTACCAAAGTTGCAAATATCGTCGGTAAAACCAAACAAAACCTACGCGTTCAGCTTTAATCAAGTAACAGGTTTCTTTGAGTTAGACATCACCGAGAACGCCGCTCCAATTTCCGTGAACACAGCCCTGTCTTACGTGCTGAAATAGAGAGATTACTAAAAAGCAAAAGAAGGCTTTATTTAAATCGTCAATTCCATTAACTGTCTCATGAAGATCTAAGCGGCTCTAATTCTCTCAAGCCAGCTATCAATAGATGTTAAAGATCACCACCAAGGTATATCTGATGATATGGTAGAGATCACCCAAATTCCTTCCACACTCCTTTAAATAAATATCAGGTTTTGGATCATCACCAGTACAGGGTGTATCAGATAATTTATTTTGGGTAGTGGGAAAGGAATTTGAGTAATCTCTACCATATCACGCCTTTTTTTTGTTTTTTTGATACATCCTGTACTGGTGGTGATCCAAAGCCTGATATCTACCATATCACTCAAATTTCTTTCACACTACTCCAAACAAACTATCTGATACACCCTGTACTGGTAATCATGACAGAGTGATTGTCAGAAATTTGATAAAATAGAATCCGGGTGGCGAAAATTTGGAATATATTCCCAAAAAAAGTACAGCCCTCAACCAATTCAGACGAGATATCTTCCAAGGCTTCCTATATATCTAAGCTACTATCAGAAATTAGGCATCTATGACATTCAGGCAACTTAGGATTGCTATAGCATGATCGTTTATTAGGCAGACTTTTAACCTTCTCTTTCCAGTAAAGAAGCAAAATTTATTACATTTAAAACCCAATAGAAGTAGAAAACATTTTTTCAAGAAATATTGCCAAAACAATGGGCAAAATTGAAGACTTCAGACCAACTTCCAGTTTTACGCGAATTAAAGCGGTTATCAATTACAAACTCACATAAAACAAACTCACAGCTTTCTTCTAACCACAAACACACGAAAAAAATCTGTGATAAATTGCGGTGGCTGGTGATTTTGCCATACTAAAATATCACTTATGCTTAATTGTTCTTATAGCCATTTCATCAATAGAAATCTCAAAAAGCGCACACAATAAAAGATTTCTGTTTTTTCTTCGAGCGCAATAAATATCCAATGTTTTTAATTTTTAACCACAACGAGTGCACGCTAAGGGCTTTACACACACATAAAACCTCTCCACTAACTTGCTGACCGCATTCTATGCAAATTTCAAACAGTTTAGCGGCCAATGGTAGGTGAAGTTCGAGTGTGAGCGAAGCCCTCACAAAGGTCAACGGTGAACATGTAAATGAAGGTAGGCAAAAATTACACACGAAAACAATCAAACACACATGAGCATATATGTTGAGAGCGATT